CGTCTGGGCCGCGCGTCCGCCTCAGCCGAGCGCCGGCCAGGAATGCGACCGCCTCTAGGCCGGCTCTTCCAGGAATGCGCGCTCCCCCCGCCCGCGCTCGGGCCTCTCTGCCGCGTTCGGCCACACTCGGGCCCATCCGCTAGGAACTCGGGTTCGCTCGGAGACGCCCGCCTTGCACTCGGCCCCGATCGGCCCGAAGTCGACTCCGCTCGGCCCAGACGCCCGAGACTCGGTCCCGCTCGGCTACGCTCGGCCCCGCCCACCCGGGACTCGGCCGCGCTCGGCTACGCTCGGCCCCGCCCGCCGGAAGACCGCTCGGCAGGGGCGGCGGCGGCGGCGGCGGCGGCGCCGGAGGCCCCTTTTCCGGCCGAGGCTGCTTCCTGCGCGGCTGGGAGGGCTGTTGCCCCGATGCCGACGCCGCCACAGCTTTCGGGGCCCAGAAACCCACACGCGGCTCCGCCACAACCGCAGACCAGCTGAGAGGCGGCAGGCTGGACGGGACCGGGCAGTCCCACCGCACGCCTCCAGACTCCCGCACGACCCGGACTCCACACAACACACCCTGAGGTCCCCACGCTTGATGGGGATGTCATATAACATGACCCAGGTCCCCACACACGTCTGGGACGCCACGTAACACATCCTGGGCTCCCGAACACGATAGAGATGCCACAAAACACTACCCGGGGTCCAAACAGGATAGAGACCCCATGCAATACGCCCCAAGTCCCACACGCGACTGGAATGCCATACAACACACCCTGGGGTCCCGACGCACAGTAGGGTTGTCATACGGCATGACTTACATCCCCACACGTGATGGGGACGCCATGTAACACACCAAGGTGTCCCCATACGCAAGGGGTGTGCTATGGCACACTGCACTACCCAGGGACCCCAGACATGACCGGGACTCCACACAACACACCCCGGGGCCCACACGACTGGAATTCCACGCACCGTGACCCAAGGTCCCACATAGGACGAGAACGCCACACAACACGCTATGGGTTACTTAACACGTTAGGGTGGCAGCACCCCGGACCCCACACAGACACCATGTAACATGTCCCAGGACCCCACCTGATGCAGGTGCAGCACACGACCCACCCCCGTGACTGACAAGCAGCACCACGTCCCTGTACACTGATCCCTACCACGAGGCCCGCAGGGCCACTGCCGGCAGCCTCACCTCCTGGTGTTCCCAGTGCAGGACTGCCCACTCCATGGGATGGTGGCTGTGTGCCTGAAATGAGGGCCCCACATCCAAGGAGCTGTGCCCTGTGCCCACCAGCCAGGTTGCTGCCAGGGCCAGACCCAAGGTGGGTCCTCAGAAACCTGGTCCCTTTGTGTCCCAGGCAAGCCGGCGTGACCCTTACCTTGCAGCCTCCCAGGCCAGAGAGCCACTTACATATCTTCAGGCCGCCTGGGACATGGCCAGAGTGAGACACGCTGGCTGTGTGTCATGGGGGACAGACAAAAAGTACCTGGTGGGAGAAGACAGGCTGGCTAGGTGACCCCCAGAGAAGGCAGCATCCACAGAGGCCTGGGGGTGGGCGTTTGAAATCAGTGGTGATTCTGGCTGTGTTCAACGGAGGGCAGAAGGATAGTCCAGCCGACATCGGTTGTAGCACCTTTTTCTCCACAGAATGAGGGCACCCACGCTGACCTAGACACTGGGGGACATGGGGACACCTGCAGAGCTGGGCAGAGGTGACAGGGCCAGGCCCGCTTCAGCCTGGATGACCTTCAGCTTGTCACCTGCTGCTCCTACCTCCCCGTTGGAGGCTGGCACTGGCCCCAAACCAGTGCTCCTGGGGGGCAGCACCTGCCCAGGGAGCTGACCTGGCATGTCTACAAGCCTTGAGGTTCAGGCAGATGTCTGGAGATGCAGCTCAGGTGGGCAGGTGACCCTACACCTGCATGGCTGCAGACACAGGCAGGCGTCTTGGGGGACTGAGATTCAGGATGCAGTGCTCCATGTGTGAAAAGCTGATCACTCCCCACCAAGTATGTGATCCCTCGCCCCGCCCCGGCCCCCACCTGTGCCCCCCCTTGTCAGTACTCCCATGCCTCCAATAGTGGACAGCCCCCAACACAAGGCTTCTCTGCACAAACACGAGAAGACTGGGAAAGGGGTGTTTAAAAACTGAAGAAGAGGGACTTACTTGTTTTTGAAAATCATTCTGTTGTCCACATTTGGATGAAAACGTTTATATTGCACCTGAGAGCGTCAGTTCCTCGCACGTGGATTTGAATCCCATGCAGCTCAGCAATCTGCTATTGACAGAAGGCGACTGGAGCACCAGAGGGCTGGCCGGGAGGGGTTTCCAGCCAGGCATAGAATTCTTTCTGCTCTTTGGGCCAAGTGGGCACAACCCACACCCCCATGGGCTGAGCAGGCTTCCACGCTCCCCTTCCCTCTACACCCTCTGGCTTTGCGGGGCTTCAGGAAGGGGTCCCAGGAAGAGGCTGGCCAGGGACCAACACTATCACACAATGCAGTGGGGGACAGTGAGGGGTGAAGGGCCCTGAGATGGTGGGGGCTGGTCTGAAAAACTTCTCTACCTCAATGGATGTCGAGGCCTCGTCCCATAAGATGGAGTTTCCAGGAGCAGCCGAGCCCTGTCCACCTACCCAGGACCAGGGCAGCCGTGCCCACACACCCAGCCAGACCCTGCCTTCCCCCCTGAGCCTGCTCAGGGGGCTTCTACCTGCTGACCTAGCTCCCTCCAACACATCCCAGTAGTTACTCAGGCCAGTGGCCCACTGCTGCCACTGTCCCACTGCCACGGGCCAGGCACCATGCCAGCAGGTGGAGGGGCCAGGGCACAGGCACAGCCACTCTGGGGACTGGGGCAGGGACCCACTCTGCCTGGCCCTTGCCCCGCTGGGGACAGAATTGAGAGCTCCCCATGTGGCTGGCTTCTATCTCCTACAGGGAGACTGGAAAGGGCCGACAACACTGCCAGCGCAGGACTGGGACCCTTCAGGCCCCGAAGAGGCCTCGAGTGGCTGGGGGCTGGCCAGGGAGCTCGCAGCACTCCAGGACCAGAGATGAGGGTGCTGGCACTGACAGGGGCCTCAGGAGGAGCTCCAAGGCCCAGGTGGGGCGATGGGCTGGGAGGCTCAGATCAGCAGGCCCCTCAGGGAGATCCCACCAGAAGCTGGCCCTGGGTGGGCCCGCTCTGCCTCCCGGTTCCCACCTGCCCCTACTCCTTCTTGGGAAGCGGAAGGGAACAGCTGGTTGCAGCCAGACACAAACCACCATTGTCAGGAAAGTGCTAAGATATTGTTTTAAAACTTTAAATTTGAAAATAAAATTACTCAAGTAACATGAGCTTGTAAAAATTTAGAAAAGACTTTTGTCTTAGTTTGGGTTCCACCAGCAGCAGACTCTGAGACAGAGATGGGTGCAAACAGCTTGCCTGGGAGGCGATCCCAGGACACACAGCTGGGGGGTACACTGTGCCGCCTGTCACCCTCGGGCTCCTGGAGCTGCCTCCTGGGGCTCTGGGGCAGGGGACAGCCACTGGAGCGGGATGATTGATCAAATAAGGGAACACATTCCGGGTAACAAGAGTCTGGTTTCTCGCTGTATGAGATGGGAAGTCAAATGTGGGCAGGGGAAAGTGACCCATGTGGTGCTGGGTGGGGTTAGCGGCAGCTGCGTGAGCCCATGCATTTCACTATTTAGAAGCCAGTAGAAGAGCTGTGCGCGTAACCGTGTTTGTACGTACCTCCATCCAGAGAGAAGCCCTGACAGGAGCGGCACCCCAGCAGCGCTGAGCACACCGAGAACCCGCATCATGGCTTCTAAGCTCCATTTCCACTAGGAGGAACCTGAGGTCTTTAGAGAAATGGCTGGTCCCAGGGCTTGGGCAGGGAGGGTCCACGAGGGGTCTAGAACATGTCACTGCACTGGGATGTGCGGAAGGACTCGAAGTATAACAGGGATACACCAGGAGGACACACAGCCTGCCAAAGGTCTCCCCCAGCGGAAATCAGAGATCACAATGGCAATCGTGGGTTATAAGCATGGAATAAAACAGGGCACCACAGCTCCATG